AGGGTCAGGAGGATTGGACATCTGAGTTCAAACCTGAAGGCCATCACTGTCACTGTCATCATCGTCATCATCATCATCTAAGTGTAAGACATGTTTTTGGTCTGGGGGACTCAGAGAACAAGGGAATTTAACTTAGGGGTCACTCTTCATTCGGTTTATTCAAAATTCACTGAGGTCCACTCGGTGTCCAGCCTGGAGAGGCGATGGGCACACTGTGAGGAACAAGATAATCCTGGACGCAGTTCTCACCCAGTCCTGAGGGTGTGGAGACAGACATGAAATAAAACACTGCACAAATAAATGTATGGTACACATTGTGATACACATAGGGTGATGAGGGAGGCTGGTCCTCCCATATGTGGGGCACTGAAGAAGGCTTCTCTGATCAGGCAGTATTAGATGTGGATTTAGTAAAGGGGAGTACCAGGAAAGGGCACTCGAGAGAGAAGAGACAGTGTGTGCAGTGACCCCGAGGCAGCACAGAGCTTGTCCTGACTGGAGGTCAAAGGGAGACAGGTCTGGCTTGGAGGAGTGAGGCAGGGAAAGACACAGATGAGGTGGAGGCACAGGGGCCTCCCTCTGCAGGACTTTCAAAGCCACAGAAAAGACAGTGGATTTTGTCCGGAGGGGCCGTGGGAAGCTCTAGAGGGTTTCGAGCAGGGAGATTTGATGATGTGATAGACATTTTTAAAAGATCCCCTTTGGATGAGCATCCTTTGTGGTCCGGTTCATTGCTTCAACCCTGGTCCCTAGAAATAGGGCCTGGCACATAGAGTGAAGTATTGTAGCCTGAAGTCCACCACCACCACACAGGGCGATAGGGGTGCACCGTTACCATAAAAGCTAAGTTGCTGTAACAAAGAGGCTCTAAATACCACGAATTAAAGGAGACAGAAGGGTCTGAGGTGAGCAGTCCAGGCAGGTGGGGCAGCCCCTGGGCATTATACTGCTTTCCATGGTTGAAACCGAGTTGTGGCAGGTCCATCTGCCAGTTCACAAGGAGAATTCCAGGACGAGCTGTCTTCCTACAAGCAAGGCGAGCATTACAACCATCACCCTGCTCTTGTTCCCTTGGGAACTTTGTCTGGTCATGGCCACACTGAGCCTCAGAGGGCAGGGGGTGAAGTCCGGGCTGGGCAGCGCTGGGTTAATGTGGCCTCTGGCTGGGCAGCCTGGTGCCCAGCTGCGTCCTATCTCCTGGAAGATGGGAAGGATGGGTTTGGCTGGACAGCGGGCTGCCTGTGCCTCTTAGCCTTAGTTTCCTCATCCGTAAAATAGATATAATAACAGATCTGCCCCATAGGGAGGGATCTTATGAAATTAAATGAATGAATAAATATGCTGTTTCTAAGCAATCATTTGATAAGGCCCCACAGCTTAGAAAATAAAGTATCACCATGTTGTGAGTTAATACATCCCTAGGTAAAAAGACTCTATTTCCCTATGAGGTCAGCCCCATGATGGGCCTCATTTCAGAGATGTGCAAATGAGGCTCAGCGATGAGGACCCTTGGGGTCCCCTCGGCCTGCCTGACTCTCTCCTGCCCCACCACCACCTCTAGAGCTGTCCTGGTTCCAGACGGTCGGAGAGTTGGCGCTGGGCGCAGAGGCCTTCTCCTACCAGGGGGAACCCCACATCATCCTGGCACAGCCCTTTGCTGGCCGCTGCCTGATCCTCACCTGGGACTACAGCCTGCAGCGCTTCCGGCCGGAGGAAGAGCTGTCTGGTAAGCCCCCTCCGCGCCTCCTCCCTCCTGCCAGGTGGCCCGCCCCCCATGGGCCTGACCGGGACCCTGCTCCTCGCTCCCCGCAGCGCCCTCGGTGGTGTCCTGCAAGCCGCTGGTGCTGGGCCCGCGCCTCTTCGTGCTGGCCGCCCGCCTGTGGGGAGGCTCGCAGCTGTGGGCCCGGCCCGGCCCCGACCTGCGCCTGGCCCCGATGCAGGCCCTGGCCCCGCGGCGGCTGCTGCGGCCCAATGATGCCGAGCTCCTGTGGCTGGAAGGGCAGCCCTGCTTCGTGGTGGCTGATGCCTCCAAGGCGGGCAGCACCACGCTGCTGTGCCGCGACGGGCCCGGCTTCTACCCGCGCCAGAGCCTGCACGCCTGGCACCGGGACACGGACGTCGAGCCCCTGGAGCTGGACGGCCGGCCCCATCTGCTGCTGGCCTCGGCCTCGCAGAGGCCCGTGCTCTTCCACTGGTTTGGGGGCCGCTTCGAGAGGCGCACGGACATCCCTGAGGCGGAGGACGTCTATGCCACACACCACTTCCAGGCCGGTGGGGATGTGTTCCTGTGCCTGACACGCTACATCGGGGACTCCATGGTGAGGCTGGGCCCAGTCACGGGGAGGGCAGGCAGCCGAGCCGCGAGCCAGGTCTCACGTGCAGCTGACTCGCACCCGGGGCTGGCCTTTCAGCACTGATCCCACCTCGCACATTGTCCTCGAAACTCTAACCTGTCTCACAGGCTGACCTTCCTAACGTGCTGATCTTTGAGCTCTGACCCAACCCCAACACTGACTCCAACACTGTGACCTCTCAAGGCTGGCTGACCCTAAACCATTCCCCATCCCCCAACACTGACAATGGCCCCGAGACTCTTGATTCTACCCCCCAAACTCTGATACATTCCAGCGCTTACGTTTAACCACAGCCACCACACCCTGAACCTCCAAGGCTGATGGCCCACCTCCTCCAGAAGTCTCCCTCTGGAGTGGGGTGTAGCCAGGGGGAGGGCTCTGAGCCTAGAAGGCACTGATCTGACTCAGATATTCACCGGGTGTCAGCATGGGAAGCAGACTGTGGGTGCAGGGATGGGAGCAGAGAGACCAAGGAGGAAGTTGCTGTGATGGTCCAGGAGGGAGGTGACTGTGGCTTGGTGAGAGTGTGGCCAGAGGAGATGGCAGAAATGTATAAATCGTATGTAGAACTGACAGATTCCAGGGCTGACTGATTCTGTGTGGGCTGTGAGGAGGAGAGAAGGGCCAAGAATGACTCCCAAGTCTGTGGCCTGAGCAGCTGGGTGGGGACATTTATGAAGATGAGAAAGCTATGTGAGTTTGGGGACTTACCGGCCTCTGTTTCCAAGTCATTCCAAGTCCTCTGAAGCCCAGAGGACCACTGGCAGGCCTGGCCTTCCTGGACCCCAGCCCTTAACTAGCGGCCACCCTTCTCAGGTCATGCGCTGGGATGGCTCCATGTTCCGCCTGCTGCAGCAACTTCCCTCTCGCGGTGCCCACGTCTTTCAGCCACTGCTCATCGCCAAGGACCAGCTGGCCATCCTGGGCAGTGACTTTGCCTTCAGCCAGGTCTTTCGCCTTGACCCTGACAGAGGGCTCCTAGAGCAGCTGCAGGAGCTGGGGCCCCCAGCCTTGGTGGCCCCCCGTGCCTTTGCCCACATCACCACGGCCGGCAGACGCTTCCTCTTCGCTGCTTGCTTCAAGGGCCCCACACAGATCTACCAGCATCACGAGTTAGACCTCAGTGCCTGAGACCGGATGGGACCCTGGACATGGACGGCAGGGGACTGGCATGGGGAGTCCTGGGCCCCTGGATGCCCCCGTGACTGGCCTCCTGGCCCTACTTGGAGGTGACAGCTGGTCCTGTGAGATACTGACCACAGGCCAAGTTCAAGGCAAGAGCTGCCTTTTCAGTCTCAAGCAACATCTTAGCTGGGGGCAGATGCTCTCCCCAACGGTGACTTGGGGGCTCAGGATGGGGCACCGCGGCACAGAGCCAGTATACAGAAATCACATGGGGGTAATGTGCAGAGCTCCATGAGGTCTGGAAGCGGCCCCCTCCCAACCCACCCACGTCTCCTGCTCCCTGTGAGTATTAAGGAGGAGATAGCTTTCCTTTCCCTTCTAAACTCAATCCGGCCAATCGCTATAAGTGCCCGCCTCCCTGACGTCATCAGTTGCCGGGGAGGTTTTCCTGGCTGGCGTGCTAACTTCCTCTCCTGCTTGTGCGCATGCCTGCTCCCGAGGCGGAAGTCCCGCGCGAAGACACTCAGGCGCGTGCGCGGGAAAGATGGGAACGTGAGAGTTGTTGCGGGGAGGCCGGAGTACCCACGCCGGGTCGGTGGCAGGGGCGAGGACAGAAAGTGTATGAGCTCAATAAACGCGCTGTGCACCCGCCCCACCCGTTGTTGTGGGGTCACTGGGAGGGGTGACTCTTGTGGAGGTGGGGGGCTAGTCCCAGGAGCAGTATTACGGAGCGGAGAGGCGTTCCGGGGTGCATTTTGGCTGCCCCTAGTGAGCTTTCCCGAGCTTTGCTCACTCTAAGGACTGTGGGCCCATGATTATGGCGGGGAGCCCTTGTGGGATGTTTGGGGGATATAAGGGCATTATGAAAGGACAGGTCATGGGTTTATTATTGGTCTCATGCCTCTTATAGGAGACATTTTTGTGGTGTTTTGAAGGATTTCAGGCATTTTTATGGCTCTTGGGAACATTTTGGAGGTCTTGCTGGGTATTGGGACTGCAGGAGTTTGAGGCTTGTTGAAGGGTCTCTCACCACGTAGCCCTTAGATATTAGAGGCATCGTGGGAAATAATTTAAAGGTCTCACAGGGACATTCGGGTGTTAGGAGGCTCTTTTATAATAAAGTGGGGTCTCAGATGAGTGGAGGGTCACAGGGATCTTACTATTATAAGCTATCCGGGTACTCCTGTCATGGTAGGATGATCCCACTGCCTGGTTTCCCCAGGACGGTCCCAGGGTCCACCTGAATGACCCAGCGTGCCACCTGGCTGAGCTCCCTTTCACTCTCAAAAGTGTCCCCGAAGTGGCTACGAGAGAATTTTAAATTGTACATGTGGCTCCCGTGGACACAGAGGCAGAAGGCAGGCCCCGTGCCGTCCACCAGATCATGAGGAAGCAGGCCTTTGGGCTTGTCCAGGCAAAGAGAGTCAGCTGCCAGCTTCCATGCCAGCACCCGCTGCACAACCAGCTTCTCCTGGCCCCCCAAACCCACCCCACGCACATATAGGAAGTCTCGAGGCTGGCTGGGCAGGAGCAAGATCATTTTATAGTGAAAATTCAACAAAGAGATCCCTCCAGTGAGAGATGAGATGGTGCCCTGGTAAAGCCGTCTAAGGAGGGAAGGGAGGGTCCTGGATTCAGGCTCCTGTGCAGAGAGAGGCTCTCTGTGTGCTTTCAGCTTATCTATCCTCAGCAGTTATGGGCAGAGCCTGGGAGGATGACCGGGTCAGCTTGTGAGAGTGGATCAAGTTATTTTTCCCCAGGGTGCGCGCACACACACACACACACACACACACCCCTGTGTTCCCTTCAGCCCCATTCTGCCCCTGTCTTACCTGTTGTGATGAGAGGTGGGGCATCCCCGGGGTGGCGGCTAGAGAAAGAAAGGTGGTGAGGTCTGCGTTCACCCCTGTTACCCTCTCCCTCATGGCTAGAGGAATCTCAGCTTGCCGTGACATCACTTCCTGGCTATATTTCTGACGTTGGGTTGTACCATCCCAACCCAATGCAGGGACCAAAGCATTTCAGGATTTGGGGCCCTTTGAGGACTGATGGTTCTGAAGATTAAACCTGAGAAATCTTAGCAAGAATTCTTCAGGGCAGGGGCCCAGAGGCCTGGCCTCTTTCTGCAAGATTTAGTTCTTTACCCCTGAAAGCTGTCTGTCCAGCATGAGGCAGGCATGCTGCCTGGAGCCCATCTTACCGGGGCTTCTGACTGAACTTGCATTTGCATTTCCCACCTGTTAGGGGAGAAAGCCATGTCAGGAGAGGGCACCCACAGCCCCGCCCTGCCCGCTGCCCCCCAGCTCCTCCACTCACTCATGAGGACAATGATGCCAAGGGCACACAGGACGCCTGCGCAGATGAGCCCGCTGACCCGGAGGCTGTGCCAGTCTAGGAGAAACCCAGAGGGGACCCTCAGTGCCGGCCTGCACCCTCCCCAGCCAAGCCCCCTTCCACTTGACCCTATACAGTGGGCACCTCAGATGTGCAGATGCCAGGGAGACGGCAGTAGAGAGCACACACAGCTCCCCAGCCCCTCTGTGCTCACTTTCTAGTTTACACAGAGCAAGCGACAGAGATTTCATGTCAGGTCGGGGAGAGAGAAGCAGTCTGCAAACAAAAAGGCAGAGCCGGGGGACAGAAAGTCAGTGGGCAGCTCTTCTAGGGAGAGTGGTCAGGAAAGGCCACTGAGGGGCCATGTGGAGCAGAGGCCTGAGGAGGGGAGGGAGGGAGTGTGGGCCTACGTGGGAGAGGGTCTTCCAGGCAGAGGGATGGATGCTAGCGAGGTCTAGAGGCTTCAAGTGCATCTGCTGTGTCTGAGCAGCAGCGAGGAGGCCAGCATGGCCGCAGCAGAGCCAGTGGGGTGGGGGGGAGAGAGGGCAGAGGGGTGACGGGTAAGGGTAAGTGGGGAGCAGGTGTGTGGAACCTGGAGGCCGTAGGAAGAGCAGGGCCAAGTGGCTCACCTCCTCCAGGCAGTCTTCTCAAGTCAACCCTCCTCCCAGCACTTGATTTGCACCGTAACAGTGGCTTCTTGTGAACTATCTTTGCTTCCATGTGTGTCTAACTTGCAGCAAAACAGTTTTCCCAAGGACCCGACTGTCTTGTTCCCTTGATCCATTGTGTTTACTGTTCACTGCCCCAATCCTCGCCTGGGGGTCACCCCAAGCAGACCCTTCCCCCACCGCATGGGAGACCTTTGGCACAACATAGGTATAGGGGGGTGCGAAGGGAGGGGCACAGTCTCTCACCATAGTAGAAAGGGCTGTTTTTATCTGCAAGGAAAGACAAAAAGACATGAATCCGAGAGATGAGAGCTGGGATGCTGGGGTCATGGGGGAGAATTTGAGGGTGGGATTGGTGGAGGAGTCCAGTCTGACTCACCTTCTGGGTCGTTGGCGTCCAAGGCAGGCAGGCCTGGGGAAGGGGAGGAGCGGGAAGGAGAGAGATGGGGGTGCTGGCCTCAGCAAAGCTGGGGGCAGAGCTGTGGAACCTCGGGCCTCAGCATAGGGTCCCCTGATGGCACAGTTCCCCACCTTTCAAAGACACAAGGGTCTAGCCCTAAGCTAGCTGTCTCTGCACAGCCCACCTTGGAGATGTGGATGCCCCCTCTCAGCCCGACACCTGAAATAGGTTTTAATCTGGGTGGCTTCTGGCGACCCTTTAGGCTCACATTTCTGGACACCAGGCTAATCCACACCTCCTGCAGAAACGGAGTGCAGGGCTTGTCAAGGTGACAGATGGCTTCAGCCCCCAGGCGTTCTCAGCCCTTATCTCCACACGCTACCAGTTCTGGTTCTGCCATTTGCTCACCATTCCCTGTCAAGCAACTGACTGATAATCAACTCAATACACTTTATTTTAAAAAGCAACTTTACATCACTACCCTGAATGGGATACCAGTCTTGCCCGATGTAATGGGTAAAAACAAATATAATGAAAGCAAAGGATTAGGACCGAATTCTGAAGCAGTGGGCTGCCTTAACTCTGGGCCTACACTCTCTTCTTTTTTGTTAAGGGGAGATTAATCATTTTTAAATAACGTTTGAAACACAAACACATGGTGCTTACTCTGTACCAGGCACTATTCTAAGGGCTTTGCAAATAGTAACACATTTAATCCTCACAATGAGTATATAAGTAGGTGTTACTGTTGTCCAGATGGGGAAACCGAGGCACAAGGGATTTTGGTTACTTGCCACATAACCACAAAGTTCTCTGTTACCTCTAGTAATAAAGTGTTAATGGCAGTAACGCAGGCTGAGCCTTCTCCTTGATGTCAAGATGTCAAGACGCTGACTTTCTAGCTGTGTGAGCCTCCGCTCTAAGAGGCCCTCCTTGCGGGGGTGGGTATAGCTCATGGTAGAGTGTGTGCTCAGCATGCATGAGGTCCTGGGTTCAATCCCCGATACCTCCATTAAAAATAAAGAGAGGTCCTCCTTTATGTGCCCCTTGAAATCATCTCCTACCCAAGGAGATGCTGTCCTGAGACTCACCACCACACAGGAAAGTATGAAAGAGCCGCACTCAAGTGTGGTCACCACTCAGCCAAGGGGATCAGGGAAAAGGCAGTCTGGGGACAGTCACTCACCTGCCAGGAGGACGAGCAGACTCAGGGCCACCTCTTGCATGTCGAAGCACTGGCCTGGAGGGGTCTGGGGAGAGGGTCCAGCTTTAGCAGGGCCACTGGGATGCCTCTGGTTCCCAACCCCCTCCTACTCTGCTCCCCACCCAGGGTGGCACAGCTCACCCCTGAAAAGCTGAAGAACTGGCCTTGAAACTTGCTGGGCTGAGAGATAAGGCAGCCGAAAAGTGCAGTGGGGGCTGAGTGAGAACTCAGACCTGAGAGGAAGCAGCAGTAATAACTCACTGGATGTGGATTGGAGGCTCGAAGTGAATCACCCTGGCAACCAAACGAGGAAGGTGCTGCCCGCTGTTATCCTCATCTTACAGATGGGAAAACTGAGGCTCAGGGAAGTGAAGGTGGGTGTTCAAGTTCAGCTTGCCAGGAAGCGGGATTTAAGCCAGACCTGGCTCTGCAGAGGCGAACACTCAGGACTCTCTCAGGGCCTTGGGGTGTTTTGGGAAATGGGGTGTTGGGAGCCAGGTGGCAGGAGGCCCGGTTCTTGGGAGTGTCCCCCATGAACAGCTCTGAGCCTGCCTGCCCTGCCCAGGCTTTGCAGACCTTGGGCTGGGCAGGGCAGGAAGTGGGGAGGAGAGAACTCCTGGGGAGGGTGGAGAGGAAGGGGGAGGAGAAGGAGCCCCTGGCTGCAGCCCCAGTCCCATTTTTCTGCCCCACCCACATCCCACTCTCTCACTTCTGCCCCACTCCTGCCCACCCTGCCCCAGTTCATGGTCCTGCCTCTACTGTCCAGTCCCAGGCCAGCCCCTGCCCCTACCAAGCTCCTCTGGCAGCAGACACTTCCGCTTTCCCCAGACAGACCTACCCAGCATGAAGAACCCTGCTCCATCCCCTTCCTGGTCCGGTATGAGTCCACCATTTCTGAGTGTCCCCCTGCCCTCTCCCTGCCCCTGCCCCTGCCCCTGCCCCACTGCCACAGTATCTGTTGTCCCGAACTTGATAGCAAGAGCTAACACTTAACTCAGAGCCACTCTGTGCTGGGCACTGCCAAATGACCTTGCTGGGTTTCCCTCACATAACCCCCTAAGAACCCCAGAGGTCATCTGTTACACGCTCTGTTTCACTGACAGCAAAACACCCGCCTAAACGCCGTCCCTAAGAATGGTTAAAAAGCCCATTGCCATTCCGTGCTTCGTCTCCTGTCCACAGCTGGAGAGGGAACCCCTCTCATCTCAAGCTCCCTCTCTAGCCTCCACATAACCCCCACCTTGAGTTTCCTTCTGTTTCCAACATGTTCTCACAGGCTCCTCCATCTCCCTCCACCCACCCCAGATCCTGGGAATCCTCTTAGCTTCCCAGTTCATCCCATATACCAGACTCACAATTTTGAGCACCTATTTCTTGTAAGAAAATAGCCTGTGGCTTTGGGGAACAGTACTAAGGCGCTTAGGACCCCCCCAGGTTTGAGGTGAGGGGTGGAGCTGGAGTGAGTGGGTGGGCAGGACAGCCTAGCAGGCCTGGCACAGGTCTGCAGAAGGACCACCTGTTGTCTAAAGCGAACACGTGAAACTTTGTCACCCCATGACACCACTAATACTAGTAATAAGAGTTGATGCTGACTGTCTACCCCGCGCCAGGCACTGTTCTCAGCTCTTTGCGCTTATTCACGCATATAATCTTCGCAGCTTGATGAAGCTGGCACTATGATTAGCCCACGTTGCTGTCGCAACCCTGTAACCCCTGTGAACTCAGCTTAATGCTCTATGCTGTCACCCGGGACCCAGAGTCTCAGCACTTCAGCCTCTTTCCACGGGCACCTCCGAGCTGCCCTGGCCGGTGAGGGCTCTGGAAGCCCCATCTCCAGGCATCATCTCCCAGCATCCCCAGCACAGGGGGGGGGTGCTGGTGGGTAGTTCCAGCCACACCCCAACCTCTGCACAACTTTTCTACCCAACTGTCCCATGGTGTGGGCAGTGGGAGCTGGTGTCTGGGCATCTGCCCTCCCCCTCCCTGTTCCCGCTGTTGTTGGAAGAGGCCCTTGCGCTGCTCCGAAACTGACTGCCGCCATCGGCGCTAAGGCTTGGAAAGGAGGCAGCCTACAGTTGGAGGCTATGCCCACCCCTCCCTGTTCTTTCCTGGCCCCGGAAATCCTAGTGCTGGTGTGAGGACTGTTTCCGCTGTCCACCCCCTACCATCCCACTGTTTCTCCAGGCCCACCAGGCGTGAGCCAAATGACTCCCTCCTGTCCCTGAAATCTCCTTCCCATCTCCCCATTTTACCACTTCCCCAGGAAGCCTCCAGCCCCTTTCCCTAGAGGTCTCCAGGACCCACATATCCCAGTCCCTAGACACCTCGAGTCTACCCAGTCACTCACCCATCTACTCTGAGCCCCACAATCCAGATACTTCTGGTTTACTCAGGCACCCCGATCTACCCACCAGGCTTCCAGAGACCCCAATCCCATCCTTGAGCCTTACCCTCACCCCAGCTGGCTCACTCAGCCTCCCGTGAGAAGAATGATGGGGAAGGGGGTTTCCTCTAAGCTGCTCCCCTAGAAAAGGACCTTGAAGGGGGAAGACTCTAGGGGTCTTTAATGGAGACCAGTGGAGAGAGGGGCAGGGATGGTTGGGGGCAGAGCCAAGAAGGGGTTGAGGGAGGGAGGTCCCAGCCCCTCACCTGCGTGCTCCCCAGGCTGTGTGAGGTTCCAGGTTCCAGGAGCGAGCAGGCTGCTAAGCCTGAGTCCTGCCTTTATCTGCAACTGCAGCTGCCACACCCTAAGCAAACCTGGGCAGGTAGAGAACTAGTCAGACTCCCTAAAGCTTAGGGGCTCTCTCATCTCACTCCTTCTCTTAAAGAGACAGTCCCTCTCCCCCTCAACCACTAGTGGCCCGGAGCTCCTTAGGGTCTCCAAGGTCATGGCAGCCTTAGGTGAGGCAGAAGGAGAACAGGGTGAGGGCTGGGCCTCTGCCCTGCACATCAGGGGAGGGGGCTTTCTCCAATCTCCCGCCCCTCAGAAAAGGACCTGGGAGGAGCAGAGGTTCAGGTCTTTAACAGCACAGCTTCTGTCCGGTGGGGGCAGTGGAGGAAGGCCATGCCTTGGTGCCATAACTGAATTTCTCTCACTCAGATTGTGTGCCCTCCTTGGAGGAGGGATTGGTGGCCATTGTGGGAGATCTAAAGTCTGCTTCTGGGCCACTTCTTGCTGTTGACAGTTTGAGGGTCAACAGAAGATGCTGATAGGACCAAGATCGTGAGGTGGGGGCAGGATGCACGGGGTGGGGATGGGGCTGCGCAGCCTTAGACTGAGACTCTCCCCCGTCATGCCCGTTGTGCCTTAGGGAGACTGGGAACTGGTTCCCAGCACCAGGTGGACCTTCCTAGCCTGGGCTTTTCCCAGGGGCGCTGGGAGCCAGATGTCTACGCAGTGGGCATTAGGGTGGGGGCTGCCTCTTACCCCAGATAAGGCCACTGCACTGCACAAGGCTCCCTTTCCCTCCCTCCTCCCTCTCCTGTCCCTCCTCCTCATGGCATTCCTTCCGGCTGGGGTCTGTGCAGGCCCCCACTTGGTCCCCGTTGGGGTGCCCCCTCCCCCCAATTCCGCCTTTTTAGACAGAAGGACTTTTGTCTGGGGGCTGGATGGAGAACAAGGCGCCTTTGAGTGGCTGGCGGAGGATTGGGGTCACGGGGAGGGGCAGGGCCAGGAAAGGGGTGGCTTTGCACTGGCCACCAGCTGGACTCTAGGCGACCCCCAACACCATCGCGGGGGTGGGGATGAGGGCCGCAGGAACTAGGCCAGGGAGAGAGGACTCTGGGGACCACAGAGTGCCGGACGAGGAGAGGGAGTTTCGAGGTCAAGGCGCTGCTGGGGGCGGTCTGGGTCTGCCCGGGGCAGGGAGAAAGGACCCCCCCCACCACCACTTTTCAGCCAGGAGAGACGGCCAAGGGCAAGGAACACCCGCTCAGATACATGCTCTCTTTATGCGGGTCCCTCAGGCAGTTTCTCAACTCCAAGCCCTAGATTAGGACACGGTCTCCCCCTACCCACATTAAGGAGGGGCCAGTCTCTACAAGGTAGTGGAGGGGGCACGGGGGCGGGGTGGGGGACCCAGTCAGAGAGGTTCAGGAGGAGAACAGAAACAGAAAGCAAGGCCTGGTGGCAGGGCATCCCAGTTCAGTTAAGGCAGTCTTTGTATCTGGGTGGATAGCATCTCTTGCCCAGTCATTTCAAGATTGCAACGTCCCCTTTAAGACCCTTTTGGTGGGGCAGGGGTGGAGTAGTGTTTCCCTCTGCTGGGAAGTCCAGGAACTGCATGCATCATGCATCTGAGAGCGAGAAGAGGTGAGTGCTGGGTGGCTAGGAGAGATGCTCCACCCGTCACCTGTGCGAGTCCACAGGCTCAGGATGCCAAAGGGGCCAGGCAAGAATCACGAGCGAGTGGAGCAGGACAGGCGTGAGACAATAAGGCCCGGTGGCAGCTGGGCAAACAGGAGAACTATTGTCTTGATTAAAGGGCAGCCACCAAAAAGACTGGAGCCAGCTCCTGTGGACAGATACAGAAGTATCTCCCAGACATCTCGCATCTCGCCCCGGGAGAAAAAGCAAGAAGTGGAGAAGAATGCTGCCACTTGTAAGGGGGCAAAATATAGGTGCATATACTTATAAATAAATGAAATATCTTTGCAGATTGGTACCTTGGTTGCTTCTGAAGAAGGGGATGGAGAGGCTGGGGGAGGGGGTGGAAGGGAGACTCACTTATCATCACACACCCTTGTACCTTCTAAATTTTATGTCCTGAAGACGTACTACTTTGATAAAAGAGTTCATTTAAAAGAGTTTAAAGATATCCACTCCATAGTTCCAGCCAATTGCTTCTATACCTTCAATAGATGTTTGAAACCTGAATCTTTATGCAGAATTCCCAACATTAAAAGTTGGGTCAAATTTTTTAAAAAATTATACAGGTCAAATAAAACACATTTCAGGGCTGGTTTCAGCCTGGGGGAACCACCAATTTGAGACTTCTGCCAACTTCATTTCCTGAATCTTTCATCTCATGGTCTTTCATTTGGGGACACAGACTGGGTTACTCAACCCAGGCCAACCATAACTTCCTCCCAGGGCTGGACTGGAACATGCCCCAACCAAGTGGGTGCTGGGCTGGGGCTGGGGCTGGGGCTTAGGGCCAGGAGAGGCAGACTCAAGACACGTGTGAATACTGAGACCCTGGGGATAGGTCTGCAAAGGGTGGAGTGCGTGCGGCCCCTTGTACCCCATCGAGGGAAGCATCTCTTTGGGATGAGTCTTCCAGGCTGATTTGACTTCAGTCATATTTAACGTGTCCACTTATTTATATATGTATATGTGTTGTGTGTGTAGGTTTATATGTAAATATGTTACATATATTGTCATATTATATAGATAATAAAGCCATTGGAAGTATTTCCTTTTCATTTTGTTTTAGAAATCATTTGTCAAAGCTGAGATTAGCTGTGATTTCTCAGTATCCTGGGAGTTCTTGTGAAATGAGAAAAACCAAACCTACAGATAGTTTCTGAATAGCTCAGAGTTTTCAGGAATGCTGAATGAAGGTACAAAACCAAGGCCGGGGAGGGTGTTACGGAGTCACTGATTCAAAGTTTTGTTTATTTGGGTTTTGCCATCTGCCTTTGATATTCAGGGCTCAGTAATTTTATTGTTCTCTTAAAGCTGTGAGTGTTTCTTCAGGCTCCTGGCAAATGTATAGGCCCTAATGGGCCAGCCTGGGATGTGGGAGCCGGAGAGGAGCTCTGGTGGGGCCGGGGCCTTGCCTTCCCAGATAGAGGCTGAGAAGCCAGGCTGGGGGCCGAGGATATGTGGTCATAGTGATGCTCCAAGCTCCTACTTCCTGGCAGGATGGGACAGAGACACCCATGGGCAGACAAATGTGGCCTCCTGGGGCTCTGTAGAGCAGCTCCTGTAGCCTCAGAACTTGGCTTCTTTGGGAGGAAAGTGGGAGCTGGCAGGTGGACCTGTTCTGCCACTTTACGGGGTGTGGCTGTGGGCATGTCTCTGTCTGTCTGGCTTCCAGGAGCCAGGTGAGGTGCCAGACGGGGGGGCTTAGGGTCTACAGGTCCCTTGAGATCTGCCCCCGTGCTGCTCTGATGTCATCATCCACCAGGAGAAGCCGGAAATATTGATTTTTATGATGAAATCTGCTTTTTAAATGTTGATAACTGACTTTTAATTTCCCCAACACCCTGTGGACCAAATGAAATTTGCCCAAGGTTGGGTGAGGCCCTGGGACCACCACTGTGAGTCCCCATCTCAGGGACTAGGCAGGCTGGGAGGAGGTTCAGCCCCCCTCACACTGTCACTCTGCTCCAGTCACCACAGCCTCCTTCTATTTCTGGAGCCCTCCAGGCATGTTTCTGCCTCAGGGCCTTTGCAACAGCTGCTCTCTCTGTCTGGGATTCTTTCCCCACATGTCAACACATAACGGCTCATCCCCTCACCATCTTCAAGTCCTGCCTCAAACGCTGCCTTCTCACCTGGCCTTCCCTGACCTCCCTATTGAAAATCACATCCACCTTCTCCCTTTCTAATCCCTTCTGACTTAGCTGTCTTCAAAGTCTATCCTGGGAAACTTCTCTTTGCTTTTTTGATTATCTGCCTCCCCTGCTGGCACATCAGCTCCTCAGGATTTTCATCTGAATTATATATAGAACGATGCCTGGCACGTAGTGATTCTCAGGAAGTATTTCATAAATAATGAGAGAAAGATGCTCCTGTCTCTCCCCTCCTCATCACAGAGGCCTGGCCCGAGATGAGGATGAGCTGCTAATGAGACAGGTGGGCAAAGGGGGCCACATTGGCTGACGGCCTGGACCAGTTTCCTCTTCACTGGGGAGGGGCTTGGGCTGATGGCTAGGAGTCCTGAGTGGGAGTGGGAATTGCAGGGAAGCAAGAGAGGGAACTGGGGGCTCAAGGGGGGAACCCTGTAGCCTCCTCCCAGCCTGTCAGTCCCTAAGACAAGGATCTCAAACTGGCAGCCCCAGGGCCGACCCAACTATGGTGCATGTTTCTTTTAGTTCAAAGACTGTTGCAAAAATTAACAGTTGCGGACATTTAAACATCGCGATGTTTCAACATAACAAGATGCATGTCCAGCTTCTTGTGGAAGACCTGGTATACTAGGCCACATACCCCCTTGGCATTAGTTGTTAAAAGGGTAGGTCTGTCTCCTTGGGGGTGACCCAGGCCCTGTCTTCCCCTGGTTGGAGGCTTCATAGGCAGGCGGGCGGGCGGGCGAGAGGCAGAGGGAGACCCACAGTTGCTATGCCCCCAAGCTTGTTCTTGTCACTTCCCATCTCAGACCCACCCTCCGTCTACAAGGCCACCTTTACAGCACGGACTCAGGACACTTGTAGTTGGAGAGATTTATCGGGAAAGATCCCCAGGACTGATTCCGACTCTGCCCGCAGTCGAGGGAAAAGGCCCAATTACAAAAACCTTGGTCATATTTATATGACTCCCTCCAGCCCAGAAAAGGCTTTGATGGCCAACCAACAACAGAAAAGACGAAGTTTTGTGAAATGCTTGCACACAGGGGGCAGGAAAAGACTTCTGAGATGCAAGACCTCAAAAAAATTATAAAATATAGCAGGAGATACAGAGGTAAAGCGAATGAGGCACTATATTAAGACCTGGTGAAGCTTTCGGAAGGGTATTTGGGTTCATTGCACTGTTTATGCAACTTTTCTGTAGTTAAAAACAGTTCAAAATCAAAGTTGG